GGGTAGGTCTGGCCTCAAACCTCTCATGAGGCTGTGGTCAAGATGTCAGCCTTGGGCACAGTTTACCTAAATTTTGAAGAGAGCTGGAGGGTCTGCTCCCAAGTTGACTCACTCACACAGTTGGCAAGTGAGTGCTGTGCTGTTGGCAGGAAGTCTCACTACCCATCCCAAGGATCTCCGTGTAGAGCTGCTTGTGTGTCCTTACACATGGCCGCTGGGCTCCCACAGAGCAAGCAGCTCAAGAGAGAACAAGGCAGAAACTTTAATGCTGTTTACGACGTAGCTCAGAAGTCACACCCCATCGCGTCCACAACATCCAACTGGATCCCCAGGGCGGCCTTGTTCAGCGCAGAGGGGCACAACGATGTGAGTACAGGGGGCCGAGGATCATTGGGGTCATCTCTGAGGCTGCCTACCATGACCAGGGAGAAGGTTTTCTTTTTGTTTTCAGCCAAAAGTTTTCCTTATCTCACAGATCTCTAGAGATATAAAGTAGGAGAGAAAGTCCAAGGTCAGTTAGTCCAAACATCTAACTCAAATGAATCACTTCTTTAAAATTATGCCACTTAAAAATCTCTACTGATAATGTAAAACGGAGTCGCATAAGCTTTGTCTCATTTCCATTAGAGTCTCAGTATCTCCAAAGAGCAGAAACTCAGCTTTGTACTTCTAAAACTCTTAAAACATCTTACCTGCCCACCCCTGGCAAAGAGTTAGGAATACGTACGTTTTTGTAAACCTGACAAATTTCCGGTTGTCGATTGGCATTTGAGGATTAACTCACTGGTCAGCCCCCCCTTAATTTGATGTTTCTGTGTGCTTTGAAAACCTGAGTTTATGGGAGTGGCTGACTCCAGAAGTTTAGGAGAAGTCAGTTGTACGATGAATCTCTGTCTTCAAGCTGAAGTTGAATTTAGAGTTCAAATAGGAGCCAGACAGGCAGGGTATAGAGAACCACAAATGTCGCCAGTGTCCTTGTCCGGTGATGCTAATGAGTGAAGCACCTTAGACAGAAGTCACCTGTGTAAACAGAGAGACAGGAGGTCAGAGACGGTGAGGGGCACAGCAGCACTCTCCTGCCTGATTCTTAGGCAGATCCTCTAATACCTACACTCTCTGAGCGCTCTCGTATCACTTAAGGGTGGCAATAATGCCTGTGTTTTCAAAGATGTGAAGGCACAAACTCTATTACTGGAAGGAACATAAATAATTACAGTCATTTACAGAGCGCTAGCACTATCCATTACAGATAACAATGTAACGCACACCCCAGCCATTCTACTCTCGGTCTGACCTTAGTGGAGTTTCTCAACCTCGGCCACATGTAAGAACCTCTTGGAAGAGCTGTTTTGTTTTGTTTTGTTTTTTGTTTTTTAATCCTGATGACTCAGCTCCACCCTCAGAGATGAAGATTTCATCAATTCTGGGACGACGCCCAGAAATCAGTATTTTTAAAAGCGCCAAAGGCTCTTCTCATGTGCACCCTGCCAGAGAGGAACTCACGCATACTGACAAAGACACATCTACCTTGTACCAAACATATGAATAAAACCAACGGGAGTTAAGCATCTAAATGTAAAAAACAAATCTTTACAATTTTTTTAAAATATAGAAGAATACTTATGATCTAAGCATACAGAAGGATTTCATAAGATTCAAAATGCATAAACTGTAGAAGAAAAGATTGATATATCTAGCTTTGAAATGTAAAAATCCTATATTTCATAAGACATCATAAACACAGCAAAAAAGATAAGCCGCAGACTGAAGAAAGCATTGTGTGAACCATATAACCAAAGGATTCGTGTTAAGAATATAAAAAAAATTCATTCAAATGTGTTAATAAGAACAAGATGAACTATCTAATTACCATTACTTCATTATAAGGAGAATACACAAATCGAATGGGCATAGTTATACAAGGACTTTTTCAGCAGTTAAAGAATCAGTTATGCATTAACGTAAACGCATGTATACATGTGTATACATATGTTCATTTTTTTGTTACTCATCCAGTGATTTCTACTCTCCATTTTCTAGGCTCTCCCTGGTTACTCCGATTTGGGGCTTCCTGGCTTATGGATTAGTTTTCTTATTGTTTCCGACAAATTTTCTAACTTTGTCTTCTTCTCTACTATCTTCCAACGCTGCCTCTGAGTTTCTAGTTCTACCGTGGTATTTTATTGTGGCACGTTTAGCATTACGTAATGTAATATATTTAGGATAACACATCTCCAGAAGCTTTGTTTTGCTCCGTCCCCTTTTATTCCGCAGATGTGGGACCCTCTCCTATCTCTTCTGTCTGCATTTCTTGTCTAGTCACCGTTGCCTCCAAGTTGCTTTTTCCCTGTTTCTTGTTTGTCTGGCCTTTGCCTTCATCTAAGAGGTCGTCCTCAAATGTCTTAGAATCCTTGGCTGTCAGTTCCCGTGTAGCAGTAAAACACCAAAGAGCTGAGTGGAAGCTGGGGGTTCATGGATGGAGCTCGTCCAGCCTGGGAATGTGGGGTGATCCGAGCCTCTTCTCTCCTTCTAGAGGCATGAGCCCAGCTCCAGTAGGTGGGGAGCCGAGCGGGGCAGAGGGCTGGGGGCCCCAGCAGTCAGGTGCAAATCCTTTGCTTAGTCTGCCTACTTGAGAGAGCAGGACCCTTGCCCTCAAGCCTTCCTGGCATGGCCCAGTTCACAATCTCTGCTTTTACTACCTGCAGAGACTAGATTTCCAGGCTTTAGCTGGGTTGGAGAAGGGGCCATTGCCCATCTGCTTAGAATAAAGCAGGAGATCCACACATGTAATTACATCTTAAACAGACTTTTAGCCACTCCCCCTGTTTTTTTTTTGTTATTAACCAATGTGTCTTCCTCAAAGGGTTACTGTATAAAACATTTGAGAGAACTCTCCCATGACATGAGATACTTTATAAGAACACAAATATAAAGGAAACCCCCTCTTTTCTAAGAGATACTTTGGGGGGTGGGGAGTGGGCTCACTGTGTATTCAAATAAATGCAAATTAAAACCACAAAGAGATACCACTTCACATCCACTAAAATGGCCGGTCGGGTGAAAAATAATATCGACTAAGTGTTTCACCACCGAAAATGATTTATCTGGGAAAAAGAAAGTGTTGGCCCCCAGTGCATGCAGACATGGCAAGCCGCTTGCATACTTTGGCCTGCATGTCAAGATGGAGGGATATTTATAGAAGGACGAAAGGGGAAAGGGGAAGGGGAAGCGAGAATCACAGAGCTTTGTTATAAACACAGAGTTCCTCCTGTGGGTTCTCTAGTTGGATTCTCATGATTACGATTTAGTAGAGCATGAGAACTTCTATAAGCCCTGGCTCCTTCCATGGACCCTCCCGGACTGATCGTGTTTGGTTAGAGTTCCAGTTAGTCTTTATCAGGCTACAAGTAAAAGAGCGACTTTCACCAAGTGTTGGCAGGCGTGTGGGAACGCTGGAACATTTTCCTCCTGTGGGTTCTCTAGTTGGATTCTCGTGATTACGATTTAGTAGAGCATGAGAACTTCCATAAGCCCTGGCTCCTTCCATGGACCCTCCCGGACTGATCATGTTTGGTTAGAGTTCCAGTTAGTCTTTATCAGGCTACAAGTAAAAGAGCGACTTTCACCAAGTGTTGGCAGGCGTGTGGGAACACTGGAACGTTCAGACAGTACTGGTGGAAACGCAAAATGACATAAGCCCTTGAGAAAACAATCTGGCAGTTTTTTATAAAGGTCAACATACTTACGGCATAACCCAGCAATTCCATGCCTAGGCGTGTTTACCCAAAAGAAATAAAAATATGTCTCCACACGGGTTCTTAGCAGCTTTATTCGTAATGGCCCCAAGCTAGCAAGAATCCAAATGTTCATCAGCAGGAGAGCTGATGAAGGAATTGTGGTAAATCCACAGAATGGAATACTATGCTTCGATAAAAAGCAGCGAAGTACTGATACATGTAACAACATGGATGAGCCTCTAAATATTATACTGAGCTAAGGAAGCCAGGCACAAAAGAATACCTCTGATTCCACCGACGTGAAATTCTAGAAAAGGAAAAATGGTTTCATAGTGACTAAAGGTAGATCAGTGGTTTCCTGGCCCAGGGGTGGGAGTGGGGGTGCATGAAGAAACTTTCCGGGGTGGTCCATATCTTGACTCTGTTATGGAAACATATAAATATTTGTCACAACTCACTGAAGTGTCCACTTAAGAGCGGGTACATTTTATTATATGTAAATAATACTTCGATAAAGTTGATGCTTTTTTTTTTTTTTTTTTAAGTGAGGCCCTGATAAGGAGATTACGACTTCTGTCCACCGGCAAGGGCTATTGACCGTGGACCAGTGGGCTTCACTTTAAGGTGAGGGGCTGGGCAGCATGCAGTTCTGATGACCCCTTCTATGGGCCTTTCCATTTCCTTAGAGAAGGAGGCTCCACGATTTTGCCCGGATGTGTAGGGATGGGGAGGAACCTGTCTGTCTGGGTTCCGGGCTTCACGCAGTTCCCATCTGGACTTTTCTTTAGTCCCTCCTTTATCTCTGCGCCCCTCAGCCCTGCATCCCCAGGGTTTTGCAGAGCCGCAGGGCCCCCCCAGGAGTGCTATAGGCTGCAGCTTCTGTGCCCCCTCGCTCAGGTCCCTTCCTCGAGTCACATTCCCCATCTGGATACTACTAGTTGACTGACTGCTCATTGTCCTCTGATGTCCTCTCCTTCCTCTGCCGTGGTCATCGTTGTTCTACGTTTTTAAATTTCCGTGGGAAAGGAGATAAATACACAATATGTGCGGTCAATCCGCCACCTTCGTTAGCTTTTCGAAGCAAGAGCTATTTTTTCTTTTTTTTGTATAATACTGTGCTGGGAATATGCACACGGAGGGTGTTCAAGAAATAGTTGCTGAATGAATGAATGACGACCCTCAGGCGTGTTCTCGCGTGCAGTGGAGGACGAGCCGTAAGCTTTGGCAAAGCCGTACTTGCTGATGGTAATGTATTTGCAACACGGACTAAATCTGAATTTCTGTCATTAGTAACCATTATGAACATGGTATGAATTCTGCTTCTCCTTAAAGAGCTGACTGAGTTTCCTTGACTGTAGAAGAGAGATGGGGATACCTACCCGTTTCCATAGTGATATGACGAATGGGAGGGAAATAGAAAACCTACAATCCAGTAAGCATTCATCATGTTAGTTTTTTTGGTTTGGGCGCGGGGGGAGATTTTAGTAAAACTTCCAACAGTTCGTCCTAGAATAATACGTGACAGAAGTTCTTTTTATTTGATTCTTTTTTTTTTTTTCTTCTACTTAGGTGACAAAGAGCAGTACAACAGATAATGCCTGAATCCCAGGAAGTAGTTTTGCAGACTTGCTCAGGGCTGGTCTTGTGGTAAGACTCTTAGCAGTTCCCAGTTTGGTGCAGTTAAAAATACCCTCCCGATTTCTGCTTTTTGGAGAGGAGTTGTGGCCGTATAGTCTCCCTGCCAACCCCACCCCCAAAAGGCCACGTCCTAATCTCTGAAACCTGTGACTACGTTACCTGACATGGCAAAGCAGACGGAACTGAGGCTGCTAATCAACTGACTTTAGAATAGGAAGGTGGTTCTAGATTACCCTGGGCCCAGCGTCATCGTGGGGGGCCCTTCGATCTGGAAGAGGGAGACGGAAGAGGAGGTCAGAGCGCGAGGACACCCCAGCAGCACTGGCAGGAGCCGCGGGGCCAGGGAACACAGGCAGCCCCCAAAAGCTGGGAAAAGCGAGGACACGGGCTCTTCCCTGGATCCTCCAGAAAGAAAGGCAGCCCTGGCGACACCCAGATTCAGCCCAAGGACACTTCACACCTACAGAATTGTAAGATCATCAATGTATGTTGTTTTCAGCCACCCAGTGGATGGTAATCTGTTACAGCAGCAACAGAAAACTAACACGGGAATTGACACCGTTTGAGCTCCTTAGACCAGTTAGATGGTAAAGGTACTTAGCTGACTTTCTTCTGAGCCGGTCTCTTAACTAGTTTGCTAACCTGTCTATCTAATTACTTCGGAGAGGGTTAGAAAAATGCAACCATTTAGAAACTAGAGATCTGCCCTGTGTTAATCCTGGACAAGAGTCTTAGCGATTGATTCACCCACATAGTCAATGGAGCCCAACTCAGGGCTCGGGAGTGGGGAGTTGGGGCAGCCTTTTTATTCTATATCCTAAAGCTGTGAGTTCTCCATAGGCAGCCTTTGTTGATACATATATACATATATACATGTGTGTGTGTGTGTGTGTGTGTGTGTGTGTATACACACACACCCATACACACACATATACATATACGTGTGTGTGTGTATGTGTGTGTGTGTATTTTTTTTTAATCATTAAAGACTTCTAATGATTAAAGGCCAAGGTCTCTTTGCAAGCCAGGCCACACCCACCCTCAGCTCCCCGCCCCTCCCTCTCTGCTGGGCTCTGCAGTCTGCTCCCACCTGCTCTCGGGTTTCAGCTGGAGACATCACACACTCTGTCTGTCCTTCAGTCCTTCGGGCGACCTTTCCGTAGCTGATTTTTCCCTGTGGACCAGTGGGAGCAAAGCTTCGGGTTAATGTCAAAAGAATCGGCCCCCCTGCTCCACTCAGAACCCTCCTGTACCTGCGCCCAGAGGCGTCAGGAAGGATAAAGTAGCAGGGCCTCGGGCCTAACGAAGGTCAGGAGGGAGTTCCCCATCGGCCACCATGCCTTTTCCTAGGCTTTGCTGAGGCAAAATCAAAAGAAAAAGAGAGCACGATGTCACGTTCCCGGTGCCCAGGAGGCGACTGGAGACAATCGGAGGGAAGGGGGCCCCCAAAAGGGATGGGGTTCACGCGCAGTAGCTCTGACAGCCAGGACGACCTCTGGACTCTCTGCTTTCCACCAGTTTGATGAATCCTCGGATGGTCCAGTGCCCGAAACACAAACTAAAACAGTTCTGGAAGTGGATTGTGGTGATGGCTGCACAGCATTGTGGAGGTACTTCCTACCCCGGAATCGTACACTTAAAAATGGTTTAAAAGGTAAACTTTATGTTATCGGTGTTTTCACAACAGTTAAAAAAGAAAAAAGAAAGAAAGAAACTCAGTTGCTTGCTTCTAAAACCTACGATGCATTCTCGATTCTCTCCTTTACTCACCCCACATGACCAAGTCTTGTCATAGCCACCTCCGGAAGACTTCCGGCACTTCCGGCACGTCCTCCCCACCTCCACGGCCACGCCCCCATCCAGGCTGCCATTGCCCCTTTAATTAGCACAGCAGTGAGCTCCTAACTCCTACCTCATCTCCTTGATGGACCCTTCCCCTTCTGCAGCCAGCTCCCCCTCAGCAGACAGATCGTAAGTTAGAGCATAGTGTTCCCTTGGAAACCTGATGGATTCCTCTGGCTCTTGGGATGAAAGCTAAGCTTCCTGCTTGGCCCCTTGACCCATCTCCGTCTGCTTCTTCAGCCCCATCTCCTGCCACTTTCTTTCTCGCTCTCCATGGTCCAGCCACTCGGGCCGTCTTTCTGCTCCTTGAACTTGCTGAGCTCATTCCCACCTCAGGGCCTTTGCTTTCGCTGTTTCCTCTGCCAGGTCCCTGCACACTGGCTCCTTCCTGGCACTCAGGCCCCAGCTTCACGTCACCTCCGCAGAAAAGCCTTTTCCTTCTAAGTCTAAAGCGGCCACCCAGTCACTCCGTCACATGTCTCTACTGCACTTTCCTTATAGTCCCCTCTTATTCCCTAATACTTTCTTGTTTATTTGTCTAGTGATGTATTGTCCGCCTCTTCCCTCTAGAGTGAAAAGCAGAGGTTGGGGGGATGCTGCCACAAACCAGGAAATGCCTGGAGCTGCCCAAACCTGGACGGAGGAAGGCAGGATCCTCCTCCGGATCATTCCCTAATACTTTCTTGTTTATTTTTCTAGTGATGTATCGTCCGCCTCTTCCCTCTAGAGTGAAAATGCCACAAAAAGCAGGAACGGCACTGCTGTGTCCTCAGCACCTAGAATGGTGCCCGGCACATAGTAGGTGCACAGGTACGACCGAGTGAATGAGTGAAGGATTAACGTGCCTTTCCCAAACCTCAGGGATCTCCTCTGATAGCGGGTTGAACGGTGGTGCCCAAAAAGACATGTTCATGTCCCAGAAACTGGGATCGTGACCTTATTTGTAAAAACGGTCTTTATAGATATAATTAAGTTAAGGATCTTGAGATGAGATCATCCTGGATTACCCAGGTGGGCCCTAAATCCAATGACAAGTGTGTCCTTATAAGACAGAGGCAGAGGTTTTGGGGGGATGCTGCCACAGACCAGGAAATGCCTGGAGCCGCCCGAACCTGGACGGAGGAAGGCAGGATCCTCCTCCGGAGAGTCTTAGCAGGGAGCAGGGCTCCGCCAACACCTCCATTTCAGATGTATGGCCTCCAGGACCGCGAGGATACATTTCCGTTGTTTGAAGCCACCTCGTCTGTGGTCATTTGTCTGGCAGTCCTAGGACACTAACACACTCCCCGGATGATTTCAGACTCTACCGGCATGCATTGACCGTGCGTTCACTTTGATGCTAAATTAACCAGATGAACCAGGATGTGGTTCTCTCCCACGTGTTCGTCATATTCCACCACCTGAAAGCTGAGGGAAGGAGGTTACCATTCTACCTCTTCGTGTGGCCCACAGCAGTTTGCAGAGGGCCGGGGTCAGGCACTCGACAGGTCCGCACTGATCAAGCAGTGGGGAATAGAAGAATACTCACTGCTCAGACAGGCGTTGTAAGCAATGACGTGGGCGTCGTGGAGGACCCAGGGGACTTCGCTGCCTGTTAAAGCCCTGAGTGGACACAAGCTTGAGTATGATTTTGGCCTTGTGCACGGTAATCTGCAGCCCTGCAAATCCAGCCTTGAGCTCCTGTTACCACAGTCCCCCGCTACCCCGCACCCCCAGCTTGGAAAGGGTTTTGGAGCCTTGTTCTCTGATGGGTACTTCTAGGGCTGTCAAAATGACTGCGTGCTGGGAGACAAACTGCCAAGATGGCAGGAGTTAGTGGGCTTTGCTCTCGGTTCCTCGTCTGCCCCATCTGTCGATGTACGCCCAAGCCTGGTGGTGTTCACGGGGCCTTCGCAGGCAAAGGAGGAAGGGACGGTGGACGAGAAAATCCCCGGGGGGAAAACCGTCCACAAGAAAGCAAGAGAAACAGCAGGCCCAAGGAAAAAGCGAGGACCTCAGAGTTGATTAGTCAGTGAAAACCGGTTCTGGACTAGGAAGGCCGCGCTCCGGGCTCGAAGGAAGAGGGGATCCCTGAGGCCGTAGGCAGGAACCGCGGCTGTGTTAGAAAATTGCAAACACGCACTGTGTTTTTTTTTTTTCCCTAAGGCCACACCTCTGTTTGTCTTCCGTTTTTTGACTGTGAGTGTTTGCACTTTGTCTTTCCTGCCCAGCCTTCTCTGGCGAGCTTTGCAGTTTCTTTGCAACAAGGTTCTTCTCACCCCATTGGAGAGAAGAGATTGTAAATGCTCCACGAGGTATTCAGGATCCCCGCCCTGCAGGAGGCAACAGGACACCCACCCCAGCTCCCCCCTGCACCTGTTTGTGCGATGAAGGTGGAAACAACTGACCTTCCTGCACTGGGTCAGTGGAGGGAGATAGGAAGGCGATGTTCCCGTGGTAAAAATGTGAGGCTCACCTGAAGATCAGGTGACAGAGTCAATGCAACAATGTATAGGGAAGTTCTCTCCACGTCATGTAAGGAAGTCCCATTCAGGAAGCCGGTTAGGGGTTCGAGTACCTTCTATAGAGTTAAGACGAGGTTGTACTCCTTTAGGAGTAGATTTTCTCAGCCTCAGGCTCTGAAGATTGAAAGTGGCCCCTGAAGAAAATGGGCTTGAAAGGAAAGGGGCTTCCACTTGCCCCAGGAGTTATAGTCTGAGAAGTGAGGGGAGACACATATGATTGGGGTCTCACACACACACACACACACACACACACACAATCTGAGAAGTGAGGGGGGACACATATGATTGGGGTCACACACACACACACACACACACACACACATGCGCGCTTTGGCTTAGAATGAATCTGTCTGGGCCTTGGCTTATCTTAGGAAGGTTCTGGGTGGATGTGCTCAGGGCCAAGCAGGATGGGGGTGACCTTTTGTGTGGTGGCGCTGGACTAGCCCAGGAGTAAATATTTAAAAAATCATTTATTGTCAAATAAAACATAAGTATACACACGACAATAAAATAAATTTAAAAATAAAGCACAGGCACAGAGCACCACATAAAACAAATGCATGGCTTTAATAAATTATTATAAGAAGAATACCTTTGTAACTACTACCCAGGTCTAATTGCGTAACGGGCGATAAAGAAGAGTCACTTTAGAATTATGACCATCAGCCAACTGGGGTGATAGCATCGCTGCTTACACCCTGTGGAGGATAAGCAGGAACCTTTCCCCAAAGTACCCGCTGTGTGTCCCCTCCAACTCAAGCCCCTCCCTCCCCCAACAGTAGCCTCCATCCTGAGTTTTATAGGAATCACAAACTTGAGCTTTTTATCACCCAAGTGTGTATACTAGATACTACAGTTGATTTAATCTTGCTCATTTTTTAATGGGATTTGTCTTTTCGGCCTCTTTAATTTCCGAATTTCCCCTTGGATCCTTCCCTTCCCTACATTTTCTCTGTGGCAGACCTGAAGAGTTTTCCACCATCTGGGTTTTGCCGGTTGCACTTTCCCAGTGCTGGGAAAGGCCTTGTCTACCATTTGAGAGGACGTCAGGTACAATGGAAAGACCACTGGGCAGGGACCTGGGTGTCGTCTCAGCTCCAACACTAAGTGGGAAATGATCTGGCTCAGCCAGGGTGAGTGATTGGTTAGTGGGGCAGTGGTTACAGGGACGTGGGGCCACAGAGTCCATTGGAGCAGCGATCGGTTCCTTGTTCCAGGACTTGTGACTCTGGCTCTGTTTCTTCATCTATATAAAGGACGTGTTATTCATTTCACGGGGTCATTGTAACGATTCAATGAGAAAAGCTCTTTTTGCTGCTGCTGATATAGAATAAGTATTTTCTGCTGCTATCGTTGTCATTTACTCTTACTATTATTACTAAGAATCACTTTGGGCAGATCGTTTCACCTCTGTGAACTTCAGGTTGGTCATCCAAAGAAGCAGTCCTATTTTGTTGCATAGGTAAAAATACTTGTCTTTAAAAATACATCTTTATAAGTTGAAATATGTGTCTGCTTTTCTTCCTACAAAGCTTCTCTTCTCTATTTGTTTTGGCATTTGAATGTGTTTCAGACGGTGAGTCAGTTGAGATGAGGTTGGTAATTTGCTTGTACCAGACGTGTGTCAGCCTTCCTCTGGGGAGGGTGTGTGTGTATGCTCATTTCATACCTTGCCAAGAACTGGCCGAAATAACCTTAAAACAGGCCCTGGCTTCCCCATGGATCTATTTTGAGGTTAAAACAAGATGATAACATTCTTAAAATCTCTTTGAAAGTGAAAGCGCCGGCCAAGGGTGCTCATGCTGTTTTTATGTATTTTGTCTTCTCGGACCTGTCCTTCCTACCTGTGCTGGGACTAGAACCCAGGTCCTGACCCCTAGTCTGGGGTAAAGCACACCTGACAGAGTGCTGAGCTATGTCTCATACCTTGCGACTCCTTCAATTAAAAGCAATTGTCTAGTGGGAGGAAACCCCGCACCCTCCGCATTCAGCGTCGAGGGAAGGACGTGTCAAGCTAAGGGTGGCTGGTAGGAGCAGGAGGCAAAGTGACTGTGAAGAGATCATCCTGGTGAGAGAACCCAGACCTTCTGAATCCAGACCTTTTCATCGAAGGTCTGGATTCAGAAGCAGCAGAGCAGAGGGGACCAGTTTGAGAAATTTTATTGAACTTTTATTAAATTTCACTTTCTGTTTGGGAACATCCAGACTCACATACAGGTAGAGAGAATAGGATAATGACCGTCCATATACCCAGCACCCGTGTACATCAGTTATCGACATTTCGCATGTAAGAGGTTGTCAAAGGTGAGATTGAGAGAAGTTGGTGATTGATGAGATGATGGAGGAGAGGGGATGATGATGAAGGGAGGAAAGCAAAAGAGAAAGAAGAATCCAGAACGACCCTGGGCCTTTGGCTGGGTCGGGTAGGGAATGTAGGAAGCTGAGCCGGTCTGGAGGACAACGACGAGCTGGGCGAGCAGAGGCT